TAAAATTCAGATATACTCAAACGAAAATCTTTAGCCTCTAATGTTGACCTCCATAACTCAAGTTTACCTTTAACTCCCTCTCTAGTCTAATCAATAAGACAAATGTCACAATCCAACCCGATATCACACATGACATACTGTGTCTGGTTGTGGCAAGATTGACCCCTAGATCTAGTTGGAAAAATATTGAAATAAAAAATTTCAATTTATAAATATTGTAGAGCCACTATTGAATGCAATATAAAATGAAAGACTACTGAATCTCAACATAATCTTATATACATCTTCCAAAATATATATAATCTGAAATCTATCTACAACATCACTTGACAATAGAGAGTACAACAAAAATAAAAGCTAAGCTTGGAAAAATTAAAATTAATCAAAACATACCTACAACACATATAAGAGCGTGCTATCCAAACTACTCAACTCGCTCCTTACCCTTCCCCGGGCCTAAAAATAAAAGTAAAAGCAGTGATGAGCTAACACAGCTTAGTAGGCTATCATAGTATAAATAAAAAATCAATAACCAAAACTAAAATAACTGAACATTGATATAAATCATATAATGAAATTGAATATAAGTAAATAAATACAATATTAACTGAATTATAAACAAACACTTTATAATGATTATCAGAATACTACTTAAGCCCAAATTTTTACATATCTTTGTGACCAAAATCCCACCTTGGTTACCCAGTGGAGTTAGCATCACAACACTTTGATAATGAAATCCCACCTCGCCCGCCAATTGACTCTGACATAATAGAATTCAACCTCAGTTTCCCAGTGACATCGACATAATAGAATCCCACCTCGGTCACCCATTGATTCTGATATAACAGAGTTCCATCTCGATTGCCCACTTGCACCGACATAAAAGAATTTCACCTCCATCACCCACTGGAATCGGCATCACATCACAAACTTCACAACATATTTTTTTAATGCATTTCATAAATTAAAACATAATTAGACAATAAAAATACTACTGAGCAAAAATTTATAATTTTCAAACATAACTAAATTATCAAAGATTGTGTAAAACATCATTTTGAAGCTTTAATTCAACTAAATCACTATTTTTATGTTAAAATAAATTTTCAATTAGGCAAAAATTGTTGTTCTTTTCAAAATCACCCGTAAAAAATTTTTCATTATAAAATGTTAGTAATCGCAATCTCTATAATATATAAAAAGTTATGTATTGAAAGTTTTATCAAAACAAAGTTATCCTCATTTTTCGGAAACAAAAATAGAAATTTGATAAAAAATACAAAAAATACAACATTATTAAAATATGAAATAGGCAAAACATAACCTACCTCGAAACAAGCAAATTTTCTAACTGAGGCGACTGACGAAAACGACTATACGGCTATCAAAATCTAGTTTCTTACATTCTCTATCCTATCTTTCTTCTCATTTCTAAAAAAAAAAAAACTCTGTAAACGAAAACCAAATGGGTTAAGGGAATTTAAATGATTGCTAGATGGTTTCAAAACCCCACTTGTATCATCATGTGCTAAAGGAATTTAACCAATGCCCAACATTATTAAAAAATTAATGAAACTAAAACACAATAATAAAGATGCTATGGAGAAGAAGGTTTATGATTTGAACTTATAATAACACCTAAATAAATTCTTAACTATTATAGGTAAAAATATAATTTTTAAAATTTTGAGTTATAACAAAGAAGATCATTAATAAAAAGAATACACCAGGTTACTTTCTCTTATAAATGTATAGTAAGAACATTCATTACTAAAACAAAATGAAAAGGGTTTAAGGCAGATCCTTGATATATATAATTCAACTAAAATAAGAAAATACTTGCTCAAACCACCTTGAGTTTGAAGACAAGTAACAGCTCCTGCATATATATCCCTAATGACTTGAAAATAAGCATTATTAACCTATTTGTTTTCTAGAACTCTCCATGGGACTTCTCCTGTAACTTTATCATATGATTTCTCTAAATCAATAAATATCATATGTAGATTCTTTTTATTCTCTCTCAACCTCTCCATCAACCCTCTCAATAAATGAATAGCTTTCATAGTAGACCTAACCATCATGAATCCAAAATGATTTTGGGAAATATTATCACATCGTAACCTATGCTCCATAACTCTCTCCTAAAGTTTTAAAGTATGACACATCAACTCAATTCCTATATAATTAGCACAATATTATGCATCACCTTTATTCTTAAAAATAGGAATCAACACACTCAATCTCCACTCATTTGACATCTTTTTAGTCTTCAAAATAATATTAAATAGTTTAGAATGACAAAAAATTCCTTCAACCTTATGCATTTTCACACCTTTATTGGAATATCATTAGATCTACTAATTTTTACAAACTTCATTTTCTTTAAAGCATCTCTAATTTTAGTTTTACTTATATATGCTGATAAAAATAAAAATTTCTATTTTCATTTAGAGTGCTAAGATTACTAAAATGAAATGTATTATCACAATCTTCATTGAAAAGCTTAGCAAAATATCTTATTCACCTTTGTTCAATATTCTCTTCTAAAAAAACACTTTTTAATCTTCTTCCTTAATGTACTTTACTTGAACTAAATCCTTACTACTATCTTTTTGTTTGGCTAACTTATACATATATATAATTCACCCTCTCAAGAATCTAATCTATTACATAAAAAAATGAATAGATATTTAATCTAATATTATAAATACTAATTTAAATATATATTACATAATAAATTTTATATAACATATAATGTTAACTATTACTTAAAAAATTTTATATTAATCCACTAACAATTCTAAAGTAAATTACATAAATTAATTTTAATTAATTATATGTCTTGGAAGCATATGATAGGAAGTCATTTTCTTAATTCTTATTTTAAGTCCACCATCTCTACTTTCTTTAATGGTAGAAATATTGCGCCATTATTTTTATCCATGAAAGGAACTTAGGAGGATTACCATTAGTATACAAATTATCTTATCCTTAATATTATATGATTAAGCTAAACCATCATTAATATTTACAATTATGATACATAGTATTAATCAAATGATAGGAAGTCATTAAGGTTTTCTTTGGGCCAGCTTTATTCTAGCTTTCTAGAACAACTTTTTATCATGATTTTTTTTTTAAAAAAAAATTATTTAAAAAAACAATAAAAAAATTGTCCAAACAAAATCTAAATCTCTTTAAAAATTTTGAATATAATTTTTATATGAAAGTGGAATATAGGGAGATTTAAATACGCGACCATTCAACATGACTAAGTTCTTAATCTTCAAATCCTTACCAGGAAATTAGATATATTGATACATTTACAAACTATTTTCCATAAACATGTAGTCATTCTTCTGCATTTAGCATCCTTGATCTGGACAGCAGCTTTACCTACGAGCAAAACATGCCATCTTTCACATTAGTTGCTGCGAGGTTTAAGTAATTAGGGCTTTGCAACATGTATATGATGTTACTAAGGCTCCATTTGAGGATAAATTATTCTGTGCGGACACCGGACGTCGTACGGAGGCTAGCCAGAATACGCCATGTCACTTTTTTTGCTCGGTACCAATGCTGAGTACCGGATGACGTGACGCATTCTGGTTGGCCTCCGGACCGTTCGGTGTCCGCACATAATAATTTCTCGAGTGACGATTTTAGACCACTGTTTCTCTATTTTCAAGGATTTTTGTACTAAAAAATAACTTTACAAAGCAATTAAAAAGCCATCCCAAACGATATTGCTAGAAACATGCTTTAAATGATATGGACATGATTTTACCAATTCTAGGAAAAAAATCATGCAATACAAAATTTACAAATTCCATAAAAAACAGCTAAACTTTGATTAGTAAAAGTTAAAATACGAATGCTAAACTCTTTAATACTAATCCTATCTCTTAATATGAAGTAATGTTTTCTTAAAGCTAAAACATATTTTAAAAAGATCAAATATTAGATGGACCTCCAGTTTTAAATGTTGATCTTCTTTCTGCATCGGTCATTTGCACGATCCTATTGCATATTATGCAGGTCGATTTACCTCCTATACTTGCAAGGGTTTATTTGTTTTAACTTTAAGCATTTGTTTAATTAGGTTTTTTATTTATTAACTTTTTTCTTGGTTATTTTGACTGATTTCAAATAGGGGTAGGAAGGCAATTTTTAGCTTCTTTAAATCCTTGGCCTTCTATAAATACCTATTATTTAACTTTTTTCTTGGTTTTTTTGACTGATTTCAAATAGGGGTAGGATGGTAATTTGTCGCTTCTTTAAATCCTTGACCTTCTATAAATACCTATTATTCATTTGGTCTGGTCACAGGACATAGCTCTACGTTCAGCCGCCAGTAGATTCGCGCCACGCGTTCTCAATATTTACCGCGCACCCCGACAACCCGACCCGGAACAGAGACAGGATGGCTCGGTATTTCTCGATTTTGCTAGGTATTGCTCGGTATTACTAGGTATTGGTCAATTTTGCTCGGCAATAACCAATACCGAGCAATATCTAGCAAAGACCGAGTAATACCGAGTTGTACCGAGTTTTTCTAGGTATTGGTACAACTCGGTATTGCTAAGTATTGGTCGATTTTGCTTGACAATAACCAATACCGAGCAATACCGAGCAAATATCGAGTAATACCGAGTTGTACCGAGTTTTTCTAGGTATTTGTACAACTCGGTATTGGTATTCTAGAAAAACTCGGTACAACTCGGTATTTGCTCGGTATTGGTCTTCACAGAGCAGTATTTCTCGTTATTGTCATGCAATACCTAGCAATACCGAGTAATACCTCGCAATACGCGAACATAGCATTCCCGAGTTCCGGTCTGGGTCAAGTCGTCGGGCCGCGCGGTAGAGAGTAAGAGCACGTGGCGACATGTTATTGGCGGCCGAACGTAGCTCTACTTCAGGTCAGAGGACGTAATAATTGTTCGGCTTTTTGGAGAGTTGGTTCATTTTATTTCAGATTTAGAAATCTAAGGGAAAGATTTCTTTTCCTTGGGGTGGATTTCCCCTAAAACTTGGGAGAAGAGGGGTGAGGGTTTATAGTGGAGTCTTGGATTTCACCAACATCATTCTCCCACCGCCTTTGCTCTACCCTACCAGTCTTTACACCTTCACCGACAGCAGTTTTTTCCCTCTCCACCAGTAGCAGCTTCCACACAGGCAGCAGCCTATTTCCAACCTTGGAACCACAGTCCAGGTCACTCTCTCGCCATTTCCTGCCGCCCAGATTTTCAAGAACATGAATTTATGGCTTCTTCCTTGTAGCAAAGTAAGAACCAAGAAACTTTCTCTCTTCTTCGTATTCTTGGCCTCACTGTAGAATCAACAACTTCGGCTTCGTTTGAGACGGCTTTTTTACTGCTTCTTAAAACGGCTTTCTAATACAAAAATTTTAATTTTTTAACTAAAAAGCCGCTTTAAGAAGCAGAAATAAAGCCATCCCAAACAATGCCTTCTTCTTGAGTCCAAGCGTTGGTCCAACTGATTCATGGACTGAACCTTGTGACTACCGTACAAGAAAGAAGACTCTCCTGCAGATTCAAGAAACAAATAACTACCTTCTGACAAGTTATGTATTTCCTTCTAATATTGTTCATTCGTTGAAATGGCTTACACAAGGATCTGTCCACTTTTTTTTTTTTTGGGTGTCTTGTGAATGTATATAGGGGCTGATTTTCTGAAGCAAGAAGGGCATTGTGGTACCGCTGAAGTCTTGTTGGGTGCTGACAAGTTTATAGGATTCTTGGAAGAAAGCAAGACTTCCGATCTATCACAATTCTCAGAGAAATTCTAATGTCCTGCATATAGCCAATCTAAGAGCTGAATGGTCTAGCAGTCATGGTAGACTAAGGTTTTGGATTTAACGAGTTATGCCTTCTGATCTGAAGCAATTTTCGTAGGAATTATGGTGTTTGCTGCTTTGGTTAGTCTTTAGCGTTCTCTTGTTGCTCATATTAATTTTCCTTATTAGTTTGTGGATTTTCCTTATTATTTGGTTAGTATTTAGCCTTCTCTTGTTGAAGGTAAACTTGAATAATGGAGGTTAACCTTAGAGTCTAAAAGTTTTCAGTTAAGTAGATCTAAAACTGAATATATGGAGTGTAATTTAAATAGTAATAGACCTAGTGGGAGATTGTGACTTTGGGTGATCAAATTATTAATAAGAGTACATGTTTTAGATATCTTGGATCTATTGTTCAGAATGATGGTGAAATAGATGGGGATATTATTACTAGAATTCAAGTTGGATGGTTGAAGTGGAGGAATGCATCGGGCTTATTGTTTGATAGAAAAGTCTCCCTCAAAATTAAGGAAAAATTCTATAAGATGGTGGTGAGACCTGCAATGCTTTATGGTGCAGAATGTTGGCCATTAAAAGATGAGCATAATACTAAGTTAAGTATTGCAGAGATGAGGATGCTCAGGTGGATGAGTGGATTTACCCTTAAAGACAGGATACAAAATGAGTATATATGTAAAAATGTTGGAGTAGCTCCAATGGAAGATAAGATTAGAGAGAGTCGCCTTAGATGGTTTGGTCACATAAAACGACGGCCTTCCGATGACCCGGTTAGGAATGTAGAGGTATTAGATTTGACGGCCTAAAAAAATTTGGATAGAAAATATTAGAAATGATCTTTCTTTATTAAATTTAAACGAGAATTTGACTTTTAACAAGACACAATGGAGAAAAATGATTCATGTAGCCGACCCCACGTAGTGAGACAAAGGCTTGATGTTGTTGTTGTTGTATTTGTGTGGCTTTTCCTATGTTTCTTGTGACTTTGTTGTGTTTCTCAGTAGTGAACTATTAATAAGTAAGAATAATTTTGGTGGGGAAATTTTTAAAAAGATCATTCTTTAAAATTGTATTAGCAAAAGGAACTTAATAAAAATTTAATTTAAAAAGAATCATATCAGCTAACAGTGATAACACTTTCTTATAAATCACAATAAAATTTTGTGTTTTAAAGGAAACAATAGCCTTTTCTATGAATTTTGCTTTTTCCACTAAAGCAGAAAATTTTAAGCAAATTTTTTTTAGATTTTGAGCTTAGAGAGATAGAGAGAGAGAGCAGAGAGAAAAAGTAGAGAGAGAAACAGAAAGAGAGCCACAAGGTAATATTCAACTTTAAATTTTAATTAACTTTTAAATTTTTTGTAACTTTTTAAATATATTTAAATATTTGATAAAATTAATATAAGATATTAAAAAAATTAACATGATGAATATTTTAATTATTGTATTTATTTTAAACGATGTAATTTTTATTAACTAAAATAAAATATTAAATATTTAAAATATAATATTATGTAGATTATGCAAGTTCTATGGTTGATAGGAGATCAAGTTTAGAATATTGCACATTCTAGCAAGGCAACCTTATGGCTTGGATAAGTAAAAAATAAAATGAGATAATAAGATCTAACATAACAGCTGAATTAAGATATATGATATTGGAAATCACTATGATTAAAAACTATCCTGGAAAATTTAAAAGTTAAATGAAAAGGCCCTACAAAGCTCTATTATTATAACAAGTCAGCCATCAATATTGCACATAATCCTAGCAAGGCAACCAATTCTCTCCCATTTTTTCCAATTGCAAATTTACAAAAATTCCAAAAAATAGTAGTGAAGAGTTTTTGGGAAAAAAAAAACATTTTATTTCACAAAGAATTTTCAAAAGAATTTGGATCTTTCCGCATATGATGCAAGATTTTTTATTTCAACACTGTGAGCACACTATTACTCAATTTAGAAGAAAAAAAATTTCATTGCCCGGGTTAAAAAATACAGCTTGCATTTTTTGTTCAGCAGTTTAAATGAGAATAAGAGTTGAAGTGCTCTGTATGATACTGAAGGTGTCCTTGACAACTCTTAAGAAGTTTATGAAAGTATAATATTATCTTTCTTAAGAAATTCAACAATAACAGCATCAAGTCTTTATTCCCGCTATGTGAAGTCGGCTACATAAATAATTTTTCTCCATTGTGTTCTATTATATTTCCCAAAAAAATTTAAAATGTCCGTTCCTACAGGTTGGTTCACAAGTTATTGACATTCCTTTCTCCAAATTACTCTTAAAATATTTGAATCTCAAAGAGAAAGCTTAATCAAGCATCCAACTCGTAGGGAGTAAATAACAAAAAGAGCAGCAATAAAAAAAAAATCCAAGAAATAAATAATCGTAAACTTGGTCTCAAAATGAAAAAACTTTAACAAAAAAGCTCAAAAGAAAACATTTCTAGTTGCACATACCTAAATTTACCATCATTTTAGTTCACTCATGATACTTCTCTCTCTCTCTCTCTCTTCGGTTTTGCTCCCTCTAAGACATTAAGCAAACGAAGATCAGCATATCTTGCAAACATGAAGTACAACTTACAATGAATTAGTCACCAAATAACCATTACAAGATAGATACTTATTATATTTATTTTGAATAAGGAATGACCAAAAATGGAAAACTAGTGCAATTATAAGAATAGAAAAAACATATAGAAGAAGCATGAAACACTGAAGAGTGGACATCTTTTAAACTTCTATGTAAAGAGTTGGAATAAATTTACAAGATTACGAGGTAAAATAACCAGGCTAACTAGCATACTACCACCATCAAACAATAGATAAGTATTGCGAAATAAGCCAAGTTAACATTCACGTCTTCTGTCTTTGCCCAACAAGGCAACAATCGACCTATCTTTTACATAGTTTTTCTACTCTTAATAGATTTTCAGGATGCTTGATTATCAACTACAAAAGTTTTAAGTCTCCTACTGATCAACTTTAAAACAGAAAATGCCAACTAATATATTGAATGTATCATCTCCACGTTTGGCTTATACATACTAAATGGCATACATAAGAAATTAATAATAAAAGAAGATACCGTACGAATTTTGCATTATTTGTCGTCATCAAAAAATTCTTTCAACATATGAACAAAATAGATCGGCAGCATTAAAGATTGGTGAAAACATCATATCTTCAATTGAAAATTGCCCATAGTACGACAGGAATTCATGTGCACGGATCTAATCCACAAGTCATTTGTCATCATCCGCAAAAATTTAATGAGTTCCAACATTGGAGGAAATGTTTCCGTTTGGGATTTTTATTTTTATTCATTTTTTCAGCTACCAAAGCTCAGTTCAAATCGAACGATAAGCATAATAATTTCAAGTTTCAAAATCAATACAAGATCACGATACTAGCTTTTGAAGCTTGTATTCCAAGTATAGCATTGAATAAATCTTTTCAACAATCTGAAGACTGTGAGATATTGAAACTATCTAGTTAAAACCACCATTCTCCTAAATACCAGTTAAGCTGGCATGTTCAAAACAAAACAGTTCAACACCAAATAATAGAATATTTAACAGATGTGACTACTCCATAAAGGAAAAAAAGGCATAAAAGGAAAATTGCAATAATTAACCAAAAAGATTATTTATCTCAGTTTCTTTTTCTGGTTACATAAGAGCTTCATAGCTGGAATAACAAGATAAAAAAAAATTATATTAGAATTAAAAGAACATAGTACATACTCTTCTCTCCCAGTAAGGCAGGAAGCAGATGAAATCATAGACTGGGTTGACAGTAGTTACAAGTATAGCATTGACTCCAAAGAAGATGAGGACTGCTGTCATAGGCCGTGCCCTGTGTGGCATCTTAAGCCCACTAAAAATATATATATATATATATTAAAGACAGCAATTGAAACAAAAAGAAAGGAAAAGGAGAGAACATGAAGGAATTTAAGTTCGATTGGCTACAAAAACGCATATCATTCAAAATAGCTATAATAATGAGGTCTTGAGGGAATAAATAGAGCAACATTCTAATTTGAGATTGTCTTGGCTTTTTGGAGGAATATGGATAAAGTTATTTAATACAAAATTAGATTTGGTTTAAGGATTATGGGTATTGGTAATCTAAATTGATCGGTGAAGTCGAGATATCACAAAAACAGATACAAGCATTGATGAAGTTTTAATTTGAAATGTGATAAGTGTAGTTCTAATACGATACAAGGGACATATGTATTTTGTGCTGGCCCCATCTGCCTTTTGTGGATGTGGAAGAGATTTTGGACCCATTTGGTGAAAGTGGGTGTGAGAGATTACTCTATTATGTTATGGCCCCACTTGTTATATGCAGGTGTGGCGGGTTAAAATGAGTTATAAGTAAAAGACAAGCTATAAACAAACATTATGACATATATATTATACTCATGCATTACATATAATGATAACCTAATAAATTGAATAGAAATAATATTTTGAGATAGTTCTGATAAACCTTGAACTTCTATATAGATTTTGATGAAATAAGAAGGTTATGTGCAAGTAAACCTCTGATAATCAATGTCCTCTAACATCTCTGAAATTTCTGTGAAAGTGAACTATAAAAGTATAATTGGCGACCTTGAAACTAAGTACACTTCATTAATTTCAATGGATTATGTCATACTAGTATTTTGTTTAAGCATTAATGATTTGTTGAATATTTAAATAAATTATTATTAGTATTTTAATTAAATATTGATATATATCATATATGACATGCTTATAAAAGAAGTTTATTAAGCTAGTCATGCTTACCTTATGATATTCTCTGTTGTTTCAGGAAAGGGAAAGCCCAACAAAGTAGGAAATGATAGTCTTTTTAGTCGACTAGTGAGGTATTTTTTTGTAATCCAATATAATCTTTTGACAAATAGAGTTTATGTGAATTGGACTATTATATGAAAATTTGAAGAATGAAATAAAATAAAGTTTCTATTTATTGTGTTGGACTTTATAGTTAGCTCTAGTTTATTCTACATTGTGATTGGGTTAAAATGTAGGTTCAAAGATTCAATCCTTCCATTAGATCTTAAGGAGTTTCATTTGCATGCATATATTTTGATGTGACTGAGGCACTCAGGCATTATATTAATAAATATCAAAATTTATATACTATATATGTAAGTATAAGAGAATTGTGTGATATTCCATAAAACAACATTTTAAAGTTTTCATGCATTATATTTTAAAGTGAAATCTTTAAATCATATTAAAAATGCTATTACTATAAACTTTTTTAAATTAAAATGCATAATTTCATGTATATTAAAAATGCTATTGAATTTTAAATGCTATTAATACAAACCCTTCCACTGACCCTCAATCCCTATAAATACACGGTAATGGTGAACAATTGAGGGATCAAATTCTACTTTTTTAGAGTGGTTTAGTTGTATTCTTGATTACGATAATTTAAGACTTTCCTAACTTGTTTTTTTATCCATTTTCCTTCTCTATTTTCTCCCCACCTATTTCATTAACAAGTTATGTTAACTTGACATACAAATATGCTAGTAAAGCTTAGGATCATTTACTGGACAAATTTGAATTCAATAATTAAGATATTAAAATAATACATTAATTAATATCTAAATTTATATATTTTATACTTAAATAAATAAAATTATGTTCATATTGTGTAAATTAATCATAGCTTAAATAAATAAAATTAATTCATATCAGGTTATCTGATAAAAAAATAATTATAAAGAATGTTAAATGTTAAAAAAATTTAACCTTAAAGGCATTATATGAGGTCGGATATTCTCAAAAAAAAAAAAAACTTCTTTTGCATCTGAAACAATTCCTAACCGATAAACGAATAAACTCGGCTCCATCAGTGTCAGCTTCTGTGATTTACCCAAGCTCCGTACGGCCGTCTTCTCTGTGTTTCTCCTCTGTTGCGACTACGTGAGCACTGCCATCGCTAGCCTTCCTTCTCGTCGCCGCTTATCTTCTTCTTTTCAACATCCGCCGCCCAATCGAGGTAACAAGCTGCTCCCTTCTCCTCTCACGACTGTAGCATTCGTCCATTAGAAGTGTCTTTTAATGTTGTGTTTGTTTGATTGGTATGGTTTTATTGGTTAATTATATAAGTTTAGTTTGATATTGTTTTGCCATTGATGTTTTCGGTCTAATTCAACATCTTTGGCCACTTACAGCTACATTTGTTTACCTATACTATAGAAAAATGCTAGCTTATTGGCGCAACATCTACAAAACCTCCGAGCAACCAATTCATACACACAAAAGAAGAGCGAGGGATATATAAAAATTTGAACACGTCCAACATTTTGAATTTCTTGCGGGGTTTTCTCAAATCTGTCCATGAAGGACTTGAGTTGCCAACTTATGCTGTTAAAATTTTATTAATGGAGGTGATCAATATAATGGTGACATATGAGTGTAGTGATGATCCAAGATCTAGATGATTTTAGACTTTCACTTGCATCATTAATGGGGATATACTTGGAGGAGAAATTTCTCGGGTAGGATGGTTTAAAGTATATTGCTTTGGTTTATTGTGGTGGAGTTTAGGTTAAGTAAAGTGTAGCGAAGTGTAGCTCTCAGGTGGTTTAAGGTATGCTAGGCCAAAAGGTGGTAGAAGCTTGCTTAATCTTACAAGGTTTAGGCGAGAAGCGAGAGATTTGGAAATAGGCATGAATCGTAGAATCTTACTTCATAATTATTGCAATGAAATATTGTCCTTCTATTAGATCTTTCATTTCTTAATGTTGTTTTACCTTGCTTCTTACTTGAACCCTATTGTTAGAGACAGAAAGGGAGGATAGTTACTATAGAGCAGGGGCGGAACCGGCTTTAATTTTGAGGGGGGGCAAAAATATAGCACAAAAATAATTAAATATTAAAAAAATAATTTTATATATCTATACATTACGAAAAGTTTTTTAAAAAAATTAAGCAAGAAAAATAAAGAAAAAATGTGTAATTAAACTGTTATTAAAAGCATGAAAGAGAATATTAGAACTAAATGTAAAGAAATATATAGATATTTTAGGGCAAGTTAGGACAAAAAATTTTTTTACTCTCTTATAATTTTTTTTTAAAATTTTTACTCCTATAAAAATTTTTTCTAAGCTCTCTATAGTTCCGCCTCTGCTTTAGAGAGAGAATGGGGTGTTTATATTGAGAGAGGAGCAGTATGGTTTGCACTACATTAAGCATAAATAAAAAAAAAATTATGGTTTACAAAATTCTCTTATTTATAGAAGTAGGAGTTAATGCTCAGGATAACTAAGTGAGTTTAAACTACAGTAAATAAGTTGTTGTGCTTCTAATTGTTCAACTCATCCAATTGGTTTTCATTACTTATAAGGCCAAAAAATGTGGAAAGGAGGGAAATAGTGTTGCTAGCTCCTTTATCTAAGGGTGATTGACCTACTTGATGATGATGTGATCATTTAGTTAGCTTGATTACTTATCTCCCTTTGATGATGTAACAAACATATGCTAAATCATTTAGCTTTTGGTGCTCCAGATGATTTCGTCATTTTGTATGAATCTGCTCAAACACATTCCAGTTTCTCTCATAGCCTGATGAAGATAATGTTCTAAGAATTAAAATGGCCACTTTCTGTAGGTTTCGTGCATCAGAGTCGAGCATCTTCCACCATTCATCTACAAATCAATAAATATGCATTGGTTTGTTCAAATATATTTATTGTAAACAAAAACATCATAGTTCATGTAAATATTAAAATGAAATTACATAATTTTTTTCATCTTACCAGGTTGCATTTATTTTGCTAATGTTAATGTAATTAGCTTCCCAAAATTTTCTAAATTATCACGAAATAGCCTCACCTCATTCATTACCAAATATGGTTTAGCACAAATATCTTTATTGCCAATCAATTCTATTAGACTTAGCATAACTTCAAGCTTGTTGCAGTAATTTTTCCTGTCATATTGAAAATGAGGGTTAAGAAAATAAGCTGCTAAATGTATCCCATGTATGAGTTGATTATCTCATCTTCTCTTTATGATACTAGTGAAGGGCTTATATATTCTTTTACTATTTCTAAACATGGCCTTCATTATTTTTCTAGCTCTATACATACCATCATAAATGTATCCAAGAGATGGCTTTTCATCAGCATCAACAATTCTTAACAACCTAATTAGAGAACCTGATAACTTAGAAATTATTAATATGTCATTCCAAAATAATTGATGTTGCATCTTTCCCCTTCATTGTCTTACATAACTTTGAATCAGTGTAAGTCTTGCTGGTGATGAATGCTTGCAAATCTTGCTTATGGCCATGTACACTTCATAAGATAATGAATGATGTTGCAAATCTAGTTATTCATGATCTTATAATTTATGTCCAACATGCTCTTTTTCATAACCAAGCTAATATGAAAGCATGATTATAAATAAAAATTATAATCTTTGAAGCTTTCCTTGCAAGTTCTGAAATATAAGGTATACTTCCAATATATTTCAAACTGGTATTTATGCAATATGCAACGTAAGGTGACCAAAATATATTTCCAAAATTTTCATACAATAACTCACCAGTTTTTTTATAATTTGCTGCATAATCTGTCACAAAATAAACTATATTCTCTTGACCAACTCATTCAACAATATCAATGAATATTGAACATAATGTTGTGACATCTTTAACGATATCAGAAACATCTATTGATTTTAGAAACAAAACACCACGAAGATAATAAATGAGAAAATTTATCAATGTCCTACTCTTTGTATCTGTATAACCTTCAACCATCAATGTACAACCAATTTCTTTTCATATATTTCTATAAAATTCAATTAACAACTTGCATTCCTCTTTAACATCTCATAGTAAATTCACTCTCAATCTGTATTACTCTTTAGCATCTCGTACTAGATTCACTCATAATCTGTAGTAATTTATAACCAAGTCCTATTGCAGTAATTACATATATAGCCCTTTGTGCAAAAGGTGAATTAATATGATTGAATGGAATGCAGTTGTCATAAAACCACATGACAATTACTAAATAAGCACAGTGCACTGCATGCTTAGATGTCATTACATTTTTTAGGGATGGTTGAGATCTTGGTTTTATTCTAAGTGCAAAAAAAAATCAATTTCATCAATTTTTCTCTTCATTATATCAATCTCTTTACCATGTGTATCAGAATTTTGTCATTTTGTGACTGAACATGAGCCCCTCTCTTTCTTAATCGGATCATCACAAAATAGATCAACAGTCTCGAACAAGTCTTCTTATGCTAGTTGTTTTCTCTTTGCTATTTCATTCAAATTTTGTTGCATCAGATATCGAATGTAATGTAGCACATTCTTACAAGAAGCAATGTTACCTTTTATACCTGTTAGATGTTGCTTCATCCTATTAATGCCTCCACCATTATAAGTTTGTTCCACAATAACGACATTTGTATTGCTTCCTACCATCAGCAATTTTATACTCAGCAAAATGATTCCAAGCAATATCTACCTTCTCTCATACGCTTTGATTTTAAGATGCAGATTGATTGTTTTATTGATCCATTATTAATATTAAGCTGGAAATGTGAATCATGCTTTTATGAGTTTTATTAAATAGGTTGATAGTGAGCAATTAAAATTAAACAAATAATTTTAAGTAAAAAAACTAAGCAATTAAATTTGAAGTGTAGCAAGCTAGCAGCAATTTAATTATCATATTGTATTGGGGGAGGAATGCATACCTCAATATGATGAGTGGCAGCAATTTGAAATTCGTTTATCTTTTCAAAGTTTGCACTCTCTTCTTCCTTGCCTCCTACAAGATGTGAAGAAATAATAAAGAACATGCAATTATCCCTCTCATGGAATAGCGAGCATATTGCAATGGGAATTAAACTCTAAAATTTGAGAGAAAGAGAAAAGAAGCACGCAACTTAATATCATATGGTGAATCCACTTAGAAAGACCAACAACAACAACAACAACATCAAGCCTTTATCCCACTACGTGGGGTCGACTACATGAATCCTTTTTCTCCATTGTGTCCTATTAAAAGTCAAATTCTCGTTTAAATCTAATAAAGAAAGGTCATTCCTAATATTTTCAAACCAAGTCTTTTAGGTCTACCCCTACCTTTCTTAACATAAGTCAAATCTAATACCTCTACTCTCCTAACCGGGTCATCGCAAGGCCGCCGTTTTATTTGACCAAACCATCTAAGGCGACTCTCTCTAATCTTATCTTCTACTAGAGCTACTCCAACCTTTTCACGTATATGCTCATTTCGTATCCTATCTCTAAGGGTAAAGCCACTCATCCACCTGAGCATCCTCATCTCTGCTACACTTAACTTAGTATTATGCTTCTCTTTTAATGGCCAACATTCGGCACCATAAAGCATTGCAAGCCTCACTACCATCTTATAGAATTTTCCCTTAAGTTTGAGGGGTACATTTCTATCACATAACAAGCCCGATGCATTCCTCCACTTCAACCATCCAACTTGAATTCTGCTGATAATATCCCCATCTATTTCACCATCACTCTGAACAATAGATCCAAGATATCTAAAATGTGTACTCTTATTAATGACTTGATCGCCCAAAGTCACAATCCCCTCACTATGTCTATTACTACTAAAATTACACTCCATATATTCTGTTTTAGATCTACTCAAGCGAAAACCTTTAGACTCTAAGGTTGACCTCCATAATTCAAGTTTACCTTCAACTTCCTCTCTAGTCTTATCAACAAGAAGAATATCATCAGCAAAAAGCATACACCAAGGTACATCCTCTTGCAAATGTCTAGTGAGAACATCCAAGACTAAAGCAAAAAGATATGGGCTTAAGGCTGATCCTTGATGTAACCCAACCGAAATAGGGAAATACTTGGTCAATCCACCTTGTGTTTGAACACAAGTAATAGCTCCTGCATACATATCTTTAATGATTTGAATATAAGCATTATTGACTCCTTTCTTTTCAAGAACTCTCCATAGCACTTCTCTTGGAACTTTCTCATATGCTTTTTCTAAATCAATAAATATCATATGTAGATCCTCCTTATTTTCTCTATATTTCTCCATCAAACCTCTTAATAAATGTATGGATTCCATAATCGACCTACCCGTCATGAATCCAAATTGATTTTGAGAAACATTAGTATCACGCCGCAACCTGTGATCCATAACTCGCTCCCATAGTTTTAAAGTATGACACATTAACTTAATACCTCTATAATTCGCACAATCTTGTGCATCACCTTTATTCTTAAAAAATTGGAATTAACACACTCATTCTCCACTCATCTAACATCTTTTTAGTCTTCAAAATAGTATTAAAAAGTTTAGTAAGCCATGATACTAATGTAAGTAACTTATGTCTCTTGTTTTCCATTCTGTTATATCAAACTATATTAGGAATGGTGTCATATTCTGAATGGAGGAGATTGATATATCAGCCATATGGAATGTTGCCTAGATTTAAATCAAATCCATCCTCAATGCCTTCATTGATAATTTGGTAATTAGGCATGCTACAGTAAGATGGGTTTCAAATCCGTCAGCAAAGAGGAGAGCAAAAAAACTCTAATACCATAATAACCTGCAAGGTATGTAATTTTGACCTATAATTTTGCCATTAGACTCTACAGTTAATGAAATAAAAGGAAGATCTCAATCTGATGTATTCAGAGAATTACTCCACCTCAAAGTTTATGCCTAAAGAAAGAATTTCTCTTCATAGCAATTGGTCTTTTTTAGGTGACAAATTTAGAGCAGCATATTGATTTTCAGAGAATTCAATGCATTGTTAGGACTTAGGAGCCTCTATTATACTATTTTAAAAAATAGCTGGAAGTGCGTTCAGGCAAAAAGGATTCCACAGTCCATTTTGAATAGTTTTCTACTTTTCTTCGTAAAATATAGTTAACAAAAGCTGTACAGAGAAACTTAAAAAAAAATGATGACAAAGAAGTGCTTGATGCTATCATTAATGATCCAAACTAATAAGAACTTATTGAAAAAATTTTCAACAAATTATCCTAACCGAACAAACTGATTACATCACATATTTTATTCACGACAACAATTTTTGCTATCAAGGGTAGAAAAGTAAAATAATAAGTGCCTGGTCTTTCTGTTCCTTCAGGGGGTGTTTGGTATCGGATTTGTCTTCAGTTTTAAGTAGGATTATACCTAAATCCAGCCAAACACCTTCTCGCGCGCATCTAAGGCTTCGTTTGATTCGGTTTATGCTTATATAAAAATGAGTTTTAAAATAAAGCTTATTCAAATGGAAAAGGAGGAAATAAACTTAATCAAACGAGGCCTAAATCCGTCGACTCTCTAAATCCGGGATTTACGGATTTACGGCATAAATCCGATAAATCCGGGTAAATCCTAATCCCATCCTTTCCCGGATTTAACAAGATTGACGGGATTTGGCCAGAGAAGAGCGCGAAAGGAGAAAAATACCTTCAAAGCCAACGTGCTCCCGTTGTTGAATCCGATCAAAATCTCGTAACTATCGATCCGACAGGAAGGGAAAGTCGACGAAGGAGCGAAGTCGAACAGCCACGAAGGACGAAGGAGTCGCGAAAGAGCAACGCTGAATCCGGATTTACATGATTTACTAAATCCAGCCATGATTAACATTTATCATACCAAACACTTTTCAGAACTTATCAGCTTAGGATTTACTAAATCCGAATTTACATGGTTTACTAAATCCTATTAAAGTTGAATCCAATCCGATACCAAACACCCCCTCAGGGTTCAAAAAAATCTACAACAGGCAGTGAATCCCCGAAAAACTCGAGCATAATAAGAGATGAAGATAGAGGAGGCTAGAATCATCATTGGAAAACATCACAGTGGGTCGGCCGACTACCGAATGCAAGGAGAAGTGCGTGAAGAACTCACAGTGGGTTGGAGAAGAGAACTTGAGCACGAGAGGGAAGCTTCAGTTCCACGTCGGCTTCGCGAAAGAGCAACGACGATGAGAGGACGTGGAGCTATCAAGTCGCAAAAGAGCAGGTGACGGGGAATAAGCCGAACGAAAGAATGAATACTAGGGTTTCTTTTTGTTTTCCAACAAGCTTCCGTTCATCACGTAGCATTGGATCAAATCTAACGGATCAAAAAAAGCCCGAACCGTCCGCTTATCAAAACCGGTGCCGGTTCGCGAAAACGGTTCCCAAGCGAACCGTAACGGGCCGACTGACCGATTCGCAGGTCAACCGGTTCAACCGGTTGGTCCGTTCCGATTTGTAAAGCCATGATATATATGCAAATCTCTTCTTTTTTAGAGAAATGGTTTAGTAAAATTTGAATTATTAAAGCTTAAAAAGTATTTGAATGCTAATGTTTTTTATTTTATGTTAGAGGATATTATAATCAAACTTTTAATCAAGATGGATCCCCTAATTCTAAGATTTGAATTTAAAATTAGAGCTTAATTACTTAGAGTTTAAGATATATCATTACCAATTTTATATTAGGATATCTTGATATAAAATTTTCTCATTGGATGAAAAAGGATGGAGAGGATTTTTTATCAAAATTTTGATCATAATGGGGTCACAACATTCTTGAATTTATTTTGAAATTATTATCAATTTGTCATAAAAAATCGAGTTGATTAGACATAAATTTTGATGCAATTTATAATCGAAAGCTTTAGGAATTAAATTTAAAGTCATACAAAATCTGATTTTTGAAATTTTTTTGTCAAACTAAAGATGAACCTTTTGACACCAAGAGTGATCCAATCTAAGTCTAAATGAGCCTAGATCAAATACTTGAAATTAATTAAAAATTTTTGGACATTAATTTGATAACCAAACTATATTCAAATCTCTCATGCTAATAATCAAATTGAGCGTATTGATGAAAAGGTATTTGTTGAAAAATGGTATATGATCAATGAAATTAATGCGAGTCTTCTGAAAGAATGTTTTAGATTTTAACTATATTTGATACATTATTAAATTTTTATCAAGATTGGGCATGAATCTCAAGGTAAATTTGAGTTCGGAACTTTTGAAATAAAATACGGGACCATATGAAGTCTGACTTTAGCAAACTTATAGTCGAACTAAACATCTCAAAAAGACGAACTCAACGACACCAAATTCAACTCAATCCGAGCCCATATGGATCCAAATCGAAGACCCGAAGCGCATTTGGAAGGTTCAAACAATAAATTGGACAGCTAAATGATTTCCAAACATGACATGCATATAGTCTAATTGAGTGTCTCCACAAGACGAATCCAACGCGCCTAAGATCACCGAATTCTGATGTCATTAAGACACTCAAATACTTGCTAAACTGTCCACAATTAAGGGAGTTGATATCGGCCGTCCATTTAGAACATTCTCAACATGCCCTTGAGCTTCTCCTTATTTACTGGTCATATCACTCACAAAAAATTATAAATAAACTTCTCATTTTCATTGAGGGGAACACAAGCAAGAAAGAAAAGGAAGAGAGAGAAATCAAAATTCTCTTGTCACCATATTCCTCCTCGTCGACCACCACTCGACCACAAATTATTGTCGGAGTATCATCGGACTTCTACTCGGTCATTGACTGTCGCTGGACTTCCTCATGGTTACTGACTCTCACTGAACTTCCGCCTGACCATTAGCTATCATCGTACTTCAGCCTGACCACCAACTGACATCGGATTTTCGCCCGACAACCAAACATCATTGGAGTTTAGTTCGATCCCTAATCGTCGCAAGGTTTAAACCTAACAATTGATTGTTATAATATGATCATCCTTAGTCTCAAGGATGAACCAATCATTTGTAATCAATTTGAACAATAGTGCAATCATTTTAACTAGGCGTGGCCTCGTTTTTTCCTTCAGGGTTTTCCACATAAAAATTCTATTGTTTCTGTTCTCTATTTGTGAGTTGGATACTCGTGCAATGCTCGAACGTAAAATTTAATACTTTCCCACTGTAAATATTCTAGCCCTCAACAATATTTGTGGTTCATGTCACTCTTATAAATTATAAATATACCTCACACTCTATATAAAGGAGACTTCAAGCTTGAGATTCAAGAAAGTTGAGAGGCTTGAAGAATCTTGGAGCTCCACCACCACCTTACTATTGTTATCAAACAATAGCCCTACCACCATTGTTAGATGATCGCCTGACCATTGTCTGATTATAGTCCCATGTTTGCTATTGTTTGACTATGACCCCCCGGCCGCAGCCACAATCACCTTGCTATAATCCCCCAACCACCTTAAAAATGGATTTAAGAGCTTTGAGGCGCATCTTGATCAATCATGTATTGCTCTTATCTTAAAGCAAATTCAAGTGCTTTGGGACCCTTGTTTATCAATTTTATTTCAGGATATCATAGATTAGATTTCTCTTATTAAGATATATTAGCTAAGTTAATTACAAAGTATATAAGCTAGTTTGAAATTTATTATGTCTTAATTAAATTCTCTCAATTTTGATTAAATGGATCACATATTTTGATTAAATAAGCAAGTTATTATGTGTAAAAAAATTTATGACCCACTAGTAAAAGGAAAAAAAAAATATTTCTTCACCATTATAGATTTAAGCCAAGCATTATAAAATTACTTAAGTTAGTTTGAAATTGGATATGTTATAATGAAAATAATCAAGATTTGATTAAGCTAATTAGTGCTTATTTGTAATCCTTGGAATCAGTCTAATTGTGTAAAGCAGTGGTGGAATGAGACAGTATAGGTTGGCGGGGGTGGCGGACGACGGTTAGGTGGTGGCAATTGCAATAAATTTCTGATGTATTTGGAACTCACTAAATATGAAGAATTCCAAACACACCAAATATGAATTAGAGGATGAATTTCAAATGCATCAACAATCCCTAAGACTAATACAACCTTAGTAACCCATCAAATTTATTAAAGCTATTAGATTCAGAGCAATTGGCCATTCATTGTAATTTTGTAATTGGCATAATCAAATCCTAAGAAAAGTTTTGGAGGTTAATCATGAAAACAAATTATGTTATGTTATTATAATTTTTTTTATCGGATTGGGACTAATTTTTCTACACTTATTATTGATTTTATGCGTCATATATTATTACTCAATAAAATTAAATTATTAGATACTAAATTATTAGACATTCACAAACATGATATTGCAAAATTACATGTCTAATAGTTTAATTGTGATTATTTTTTAAATTTAGTTGTATTACCTAATAATTTAGTTATACTTGTGAGACCTCGTTCCTTTGCTGTAGCTGCTGGGAAAAGTGATTTTTCCCCAGGATCGGCCGGGACGATGGTGAGATCGTCCAGGCCGATCAGTGTATTGAAAACAGTTGATTTCTGGAATGTTCTCTGGAGTGATTTTTGGACTGAATCGTCCGGGACGATAGTGAGATCGGCCAGGCCGATCTGCACTGTTCAAAATACCGTCCTGAGATAAGTTCTGGGAACCGTCCAGGACGATCGTTTATTGTCTGATCGTCCCGGGACGATGTGGCGATCGGCCGGGCCGATCAGACTAATGTTATAAGAAAATCAGCTCGTTTTGAGGAGAGAGAAAATCATTTTAACATATCAGATATTTTGAAGAGAGAGAAAGAGCGGAAAAGCAAAGGAAGAAGTCCGATTCAGGGCCCGCGGAGCAATTTTCGTCGTTCGTTGCTGTTGGATATTTTGTTTTTCTTGCTGTAAGGATTCCGAACCCTACTTCTGTTTTCGAAGATTTTGAGGTTTTGTAAAATGGTGCTCAGATTTGTGTTTTTGTAAGTGATTTTCGTACCCGGTTTGGTACTGGCGAAGATTTCACCGCATAACTTTTGGTATGTTGTAGATGTGATTATTCTGCGCGTTTTGATTAGTTTCTGACAGATTTCGTCCGGTCCGTTTTGGTTCTGCGGAGTTTTATTTTGACTGCAATTTATTATGATGTCCGAATTGGGTGTGGATTTATTGATTTATCGTATTGATTTCCGATTGATATTATCGACTTGATTGATTCATAGATACCGGCACCGATATTGATATGGATTCTGCGTATTGATTCATAGATATTGACACACCGACATTGATATAGATTGTAGCGATTGATAGATACCGACATCGACATTGATATGGATATGATATGGACATATGGATATTATTGATACGACAGATCCTGACATGCTATTGATACATTGATTCGTCGTACCGATTATAGATTGATTGATTGAATGGATTGCTGTCGTATGGATTTGAATTATCGTAGAATAGATTTCTTTATGAAGCTAATTGTATTGATTTGGTTTCAAGTGATCTTTGTATTGATTTGATTTCAATTGATCTTTCGCCGTATTGATTTGATCGTTTATTGGGATTTTGAGTCGATTGGTACTATTGACTGGCAGAATTGATTGATACGATTTCACTGTTGTAGCATCGTTCGTGGTCGTCAATGAATGGTTCTTTTTATGGATATGGATACATACACTGCCGTATTGATAAGAAGTAAGAGAGATTGAGCGATAGATTGATTTGTATGTATATGTTCCGATACGATTCCACTTTATTGATTTGACTGCTTTGACTGATGTGATACGATAAGTAAGACGACTAGACGATTGTATTGATTTAATTGATGTTATCGATTGCTATGATAGAGATTGTAGAGAATGGATTGACGCATTGATTTTTTTGAGCTTTATAGATTTCCTATTGGTTATTGATTTTATCGATTTCTGTTCCGTATTGATTTCTGTATTGCATTGACTCATTGATCATGTACGATGGATTGATTTGACTTGATTTGATTAACCTACATATTGTTTTCAGTGTCATGCTTTGATTTCAGTTGTAGGCTTTGGTGACCTGCTGGGCTTTGTAAGCTCATTATATGTGGTTAATGATTTCAGGTGCAGGGCCTCCAGCTTGAAGATCTTTCTGCCGAGTTCTGTAGCTTTTTCTTTTGTAGCCTTGGTAGGCTTTCTTTTGTAGCCTGTACGGCTAGTGTAAATTTCTCTGTTGGCTGTACTCTGACTGTTGTACTATATGTGAATTATAGTATCCGCTGCTGTTTCTTTTCTGTAATGTAATTATCTCTGGCTCTGGATATATGTA